AAAGTATATTGCTAAAATTAATTGTTAAAATTTTATTATAAAAATTAATTTTTAAAAAAAAGATGCAAACAAATTTGCATGTAATACAATTTAAGAAATATATATTTAAAATTTTTCTTATAACAATGATCTATTACAGTATAATATATCTGAATCTTTTACAATCTGAATCTTTTAGTTAGTACATTACAGTAATTCATAATCTAGTGATCAAAACTGAGCAATTTATAACTATTAGATCCTTAATATTGTAAATGAAAAATGTATAGATTGTTCAATTTTGCATACTAGGTTATTTATATTAATATAAACAATTTTAGTACAATAATACTATTTTTTATATATGAATGTTGCTAGTAAATTTTTATAGTATTCTAATAGCAATATCAAGTTTTTTAATAATTTATGAGATGGCACTGATTTTTTAAAATAAAATGGTATAAAATAAAAATTATATTAAAATATAATTTAAATGTGAAAGTAATAATTTTATAAATTATAGAAAAAAAAACTTGCAATTTAGCTCAATATTCTAGAAATATTGTAATTCAAAGTAGTAATATTTGAACAATATAAGTATTTTTAGATATCACATTTCAGAGACAAGATAAATGTATTTGTTATTTTTTGGCAAGTGTTATATAAAAAAATAATGTTCTTTTTAATCTTAACTTTATTCTTATAACAATGGCTAGCTTCTCATTTTTTTTAACTCTGAGCCTATGATGATTAACTATATTCACTCTAAAAGCATAACAATCTTGAAAAATTTTTATTCTTTTATTTTCATCTTTTTTAATCATAAATGTATTTTAATAATAGGTACTGGCTTGAAATATTTTATTAGAATTTTCCATGTTAGCAAACTTTTTATAAAAAACAAATAGCTTATATTTGTCCTTTTTATTTTGAATAGACTATTATGTATAAAATAAAATAAAATAATAATATTCTCAGATATATAATCTGATAAATCTTCTGTATTTATTCTTATAAGATAACTAGAGGTCAGATCTAATAAATAATATATTTAAATATTCATTAAATATTTGAATATTCAAATAAATAAATTTTTACTAAATTAAATATTTAAATATTGAATTTATTTATTAAATAATTCATTGAATATTTAGTGAATATATATAATTAAAATTTATAGTTTTAATATATTTGCTTAATTAGTTTATAAATAAAATATTAATTTATTTATAAATTTTTATTACTTTATTTAATATATTTTTATTTTAAATTAGTTAAATTATTGTTTAAAATGTAATAAAGATATTTATATTTTTACTTTATTTTATGTAATATTTGTTAAAGATAACTAATTAATATTTTTAATTTGATTATATTACATGTCTTTATATATTTACAAAATAAACAATTTATTTACTAAATAAATTAATAATGTAATAAAAAATTAGTTGCTTTAATTAGTTATGTTAACTATTTACTTTAGATATTTATTAATTTTTAATATATTAGTTAATTATAAAATTATTTATTAATTAATATAGATTTTTACAAATTAAAATATAAACTTATTAGTATTAAAATAGATTGTGTTTTGCATATATTTAAAATTTTAAATTAGTTTAAAATTTTTTAATTTATATCATAGTTATTAGCTAGCTATTTAATTATAGTATTAATAAAGTACAAAATTATTTTTTATTATTTTAAATATTCAATGTATATTCAGTAAATATTTGAATATTCATTTAAAATTTTTGAATAAATATTCAAATATTAAAAATATTGAACAAATGAATATTCAAATACAAAAATTTTAAATAAATAAGACCTTTATATATAACCAGTTATTAATTACTTAGTTACATAACTATTTATTAATCACTTAGCTGTTTAATCATAACCATTTGTTAATCGCTTAGCCATTTAATTGTATAATCATTTATTAATTGCTTAGTCATTTAATTATTTAATTATTTATTAATTATATAACTGTCTTAACTACTTACAGTATTAATCGTTTAACTGTTTAGCTGTTTTATTTATTTATTAAATAAATAGATAAAACAGCTAAACAGTTAACAATAAATTTTATTATTTAACTGTTTGGCCACTTTAACTATTTATCAATTATTTAATATTATTTTAATGTTTAACTATTTAACCATTTATTAACCATTTAATAATTGTATTAATGTTTAGTAGCCAATTGTATTTATATAGCAATAATTATTAAGATCCAGTATTAACAATGTCTAAAACTTATATATTATATTATATTAAAAAAGATTATTAAAAGTAAAATAAAAATAGAAAATATTATTGTTAAACTGCTAATGCTAATCATAATTCAATTTATTCCAATTTTCAGAGTTAAAATTTCATAACAAAATGCATAAAAAAAAAAAAAATTTTTTGAAATACTAGTGCTATTTATATTCTATGTTTAATAGCATATAAATTTCCTATATTTATCCTTTTTGATCCTTTTAATGATATCATTATAATGAATATACTGTAACGACTAATTGCATATTATGCAATTTAGAATAGAATTTTGAATGATACTATTTTTTTATTAAAAAAGCCAAGCTGCAATTCTTATAAAAACCCTTTCTAACTAATTATCTCATCCAATAGGATTATATCTGCTGTTAGCACTTTTAACCTTCATAATTACAACAAAATGTATTTGCTTATAGCAATTTCATAATATATTCCTTTAATAGATATAAGCATTAGTATACTTTTAGTAATAATAACTATTCTAATGCCTTTGTATTCATCTTTTTTAGTCTAGATATTGTAGATTTTTTTTTATTGTTATTCAATTAAGCCTATTTCAAATAATATAAAGAAGAATTGCATATGAAAAAGAATTGTATATAAAAAAAAAACATTTGCATTTAAAGTTATATATAAATTTTAAACCTACTTAAATGTTCAGCATTATGCTTAAAAAAGAGAATTTTTCCAATAATCTTTGAACTTAATCATGTATGTTGGAGAGTAATTAGATTTTCTGTATCTGAAAAAAGTTTCTTACAAGGAACAGATATTGCTAATATATATAAATATTTATGTCCTAATAATAACAAAATCGAAAACTTAGTTTTATGATCATCTTATTATTGCCAAGAATTGGCATTATAATTAATAAGGATAGTCTTTAAATATTGTGCTACCTCATCTAAAAGCATATCTTTATAATTCTGTACTCCAAAAATATCTTCAAAAAATAGATTTTGCATAATTTTAGTAACTATTGGTGTTGATTTTTGTTGCTCTGATTGATTATTACTAGTAATATTAAATGTAAAATTTCAAATTTATTTCTTAATTTTGATTTAGCCTTTTCTTGTTTTCTATTTGTAAATGCAGACATTTTTTTGGTTCAGAGGTCTAAAAGAGTAGCTACCAATCCAGCTTTATAAAAATTGTGCCAATATTTATTTAAAGAGTCAGAAATAGCAATTTTAAATTGCTTTTCTATTTGATCAAGATTGGGTAGTAGTAATGAAGTATGTAAATGAGTATCATCATCATTTTCAAAATCTAATATCATATTTAATTAATTTAAAAAAAAGTTAGAAAAATGTATTCAACTTCTTATCACTGCATAGTATTTAATTGTTACATTATTAATATTATGAAAATCATATCAGATGCCAATATTTACAAAAGTTCAAAAGTTATAATAATGGCATTGTTGCATAATGTAATAATTAATATTACAGATTATAATAAAACTGGATTAAAATGAAATGAGAGTTTTTATTTAACTCTTTAAAACCTATTTATACTTGTTTATTATAAACACTATTTTAAAACTAACCTCTAACTCTAACCCCTAATTATAAAAAGTGCATCTCAAAAATTTTTATTTTTCAGTAGCTTGTCTATTTTTTATATTATACAATATTTTATTTTGATCCGATTTTATTTTAATCCATTACAATTAATATCTAAAATCTGCTAGTAATTAACAATTAACATTACTGCATTAGTAATCATAATGATAATAATTAGCAAACTTTAAATATTAATTGTTATATTAGTGAAGTAGAATTGATAAACTTACTATTCTTATCATTACTATCTTTATTATCATTACTCAGTTCTAAACTAAAATTGATAAATTTATTTTGTAATTCATGAATAATAGAATACATTAATGAAAGAGTGGAATATTTGCTTCTTAAAAAGAATTTTGTTGTAAGTTTAAATAGTTTTAATGCATTAATAATTCTTTTTAACAAATCTCATTTATAATTTTTTAGCAGTAACTTAGACAATTTTTGATTATCTTTTTTATTTTCTTTTCCTTTTCTTAAGGGCAAAATGGATGCTAATTATGTTATTGCATCTTTTAATTCTAAAAGCCTTGTCTATAAATAGTAACTAAAGTTCTATCTAGTATAAATATCAGTAATATTACGCAATACTTTTATTGTAGATTTATCAATTTCTTTATCATTATTATTTCCTTTTTCTAAACTAATTTCTTTATCTATTTTAAGAGTTGATAATTGGTTAAATTGAACAATCTTAACATCCTCTTCTCAAATATGATTCTGTTATGCAAGATCCATTTGTGCCTTATTAAGTCATTTAGATTGTTTAACTAACTTTGTAAAAATTTTACTAATTTTTTGAACTTTTTTACATAAGAACTACTTTTTTTTAAACCTTTTGTTATTGACAGTTATAAAGTATGAGCAGAACAGAGTAACCATTCAATATCTTCCTACATGGTAAAGGCTTTTTTTATATTGAAACTATTATTAGTAATTCCTAAAAATAATTTTTTATTTAAATTGAATTCATCTATTTTATTATCAATATAATTATATATTTTTTCAGCTGTATGAGGGTACTATATACATTCAATAGTAAGAAGCATATCAATAATTTCAAAATTAAGTGTGAGCTAATGAACTATAATATCGATATATCTAAATTTGGATCTGGCATTCTAGAGATCTGTGATAATAGTAGCATATTTATATATTTTATTAATTTTCATTTTAAGTTTGGTTATTTCATCTTGATAAGTTGCTGCTATAAGATTTTTATATTCTTTATTAGATAATGGTTTAAATTGTAAATCAATTTTCTTCATAAATCATTGAAATTCTTTTTCAAGAAATGTATTAAAGGATAAAGAATTCATAACAATCCATTTTGTACATGCTGTCTGTAATTCTTTTTGTTTATTTAGGTTATGAGATTTTATATTTTCTATAACTTGTTCAAGTGTAATCTGTTCTTTTTTCCCATCTATAATTACAGTATTATAATAATTTAGATATAAATCTAAATCTGTTTATATGATGATAAATTAAATAATACCTTTTTAGCCTAACTTTTGAGGACTATATCATGTTTTTGTATAATATAATAATTTATTGATGATGTTAAATTTGAAATAGTACAATCATATATGATCTTATTTTTTTTTCATCTTGAATTATTTCAACTTGGCATATTGCAAAATTTTCTTTTAATTTAAAATAATGTTATACTTTAGCTTTAAGTCTGTGTATTTTCCTTTTTTTTAGTAAATTAGTAGTTTTCTTGCCTTTTGAAAAAGGTCCTATTTCACTACTATTATTATCATTAATATCAGTTTTATTGTTAGTTTCTAAATCATCAACACTATTCTGGATATTGCTTATCTTTAATGAAAGAAAACTGATTTAACTTTTTTTTAAGGTTTGATTTTATTTGTTTACTATCTATGTTTACTCTTATTAAATTACCAATTTTAGTATTAGTATATATTAGTTAAAACTCGTACAAATTTTAATTTTAGTATGTATATACTAGTATATTACAAGAAATCAATTTTAAGGTTTGATTATTGTTGCATACAAATTTTAAACATCTTGAAAACTATAGATTCAGTTTGTTGTGCATTGAAGACTTATTTTTCTGATAATTAGTAATGAGTAGTATTTATACTTTAATTTTCTTTTTAAGAGTTAAGATATATATAATATTTAATTTTGTTCTTATAACATAAAATATTAATCAATTATCTCTTCTAAATTTTATTAATTACTAAATTTTTTTTATTAATGTGTTCAATCATAACAAAACTGAATGCATCAATCATTAAATTCAGTCTTATTTTATTCAAAAAAGATGAAAAAGGTTGAACATAAAAGATCATAAACAATCAATTGTATAAAATTTGCCATCTTTATATCATAAATCAGTAATTTGGAAATTTTAGCAATGCAAATTTTTATCAGATTTTATATTATTATTTTCTTTACTTTTTATACTACTTATGCTTCACTCTTTATCACTGTGTATTTATGACATCTTTACTTTTATTTGAGTAATTTCTTGGTATGCAAATGTCAGATGAATAACAAATTAACATCTCTAGCTTTGAAGATGCAGCCATTTTGATGTAAGAATAGAAACTAATTATGTGCTCTCTGCTTAGATCTCTTAGATAACAAAGGAAACCTATTTGTAGTTAGTAAATAATATAACTTTTTGAAAGTAATTTAGTCATGTTTATGTTATAGCAATATTATCATAAAAAAAGCCATTATACTTGAAAATTATAAAGTCTTAACTACACACTCTGAATTATTCAAATTGATATCCTAAACTAATATCTTAAGTATTTGCTCTTAGAATTTTTTATAAAGTTTGTGTGGTCAGTGAAATGCTGTAAATGTGCAAATAGTATTGGATTTATACCTTCTACTTAAATATATAGATAGTTATTTTTAAAGTCTGACCAATGATATAATATAATTTATTACAACATATGTACTGTATATAGCTATTATGTAAATTAAAATTTATCAAAAATTAGGTCTAAATGTATAACTGGTTGCTCAGTTTATAGATTTATAAGAGTGGCACTAATTAAAAATGAGAAATTTTAATCATACTAATTACAAATCTAATTTTAATATTCAATTTAAATTTTTTTTTTTTGGTATTTTATTTAAAAGAACAAGTGTTCTTAGAGAATTGGCAAGAATAAAATAAGAAGCATAACTATTATTAAATGTATGCTAGCATTAGATAAATTTAATTCTATAAGAATAAAAATGGCCAAGCATAATTAATATTACACTTTAAAACCTGATGTCAAATGTTTGATACTCAGATAGTTGGAAAAATAACATTGATAATCACATTAGAGAATTTTAACTTATGGTTTTTGATAAATTAGACAGCATTTAAAAGAATAGTGAAATACTTTAATCTTATTAGCCAGCATATAAAAGTAAACCTCATATATATTATTATATCTAAAAATGTTGTAGTCCTTTAGATTTTCTAAAGAGAGTAATTATTTTTATTTAAATTATTTATTGTATATTTATTAAACACTGCATTGTAAATTAATAAAGTATTTAAGTTTAAAAATTATGTACTGTACAATTATATAGTCAAAAAATAATGAATACATATTGGCATTTGATAAATTTGGTTCTAAAATAATTAAAAAAATAGAAATTGGACAAATGAAAATAAATACATCAATAATTGCATTAAAGATCCAACTTAAAGCTACAAAATACAAGAGTAGTTAGATAATTTACTTTTAAGAATTAATTATAACATTTAAAAAATTGGAGTTAAATTTTTATGGACTATGAATAATATGTATATACATACTGTACATGCATATATTTGTCTCTATTTTAAACAATTAGTCATATACATAAAATTTAAGTAAATAATTTAACAATTTTTAATCATTTATAAAATTGTTTACTCATTTAATATATAACATAAATAAATAATTATAAGCAGTTAAACAAAATAATGGTTTCAATCCAATTCTTATATGTAATTATTATAAAAAATATTTATAAAATATCCTTTACAGTAATTATTATTAATCACATGCATATTTGTTTTCTCATTTGAAACATTAAATAATTAATCATAATTAATTGTATAAAATTTAAAAATGGTTAAACAAATAATTTAATAGTTTTTAATCATTTATAAAATTCTTTACTCATTTAATCATATAAGATAAATAAATAGTTAATTATAGTTAAATGAATAATAGTTTTAATCCTTATTGTTGAGTCACTCACAAATACTCTGTATTATATTTTTTAAATAAACACTGAGCTTTTTCAACTTCTTCCTTTTGATTATCTGAAGAGAGTATTGTGCATTTATATTTTTTAAAAAATCTTCATATAAAACTTTTTGAACTTCTTTCTTTTTTTTTTGATACTTTTCAAATTTGAAGTAAATATTGAAGGTAATGCTTCATCATTACTATTATTTCTTTTTTCATTATTAGATAAATAAAACTTATTATTATACAAACTATTCTTTATAGATTTTTTTATTTAGATATTATAATCAATATGTCTCTTTTATCTTTTATTATGTTAATATTGGTATTAAAAGTACTTACATATTATACAGATTTTATACAAGGTAAAATCTAGAATAAAATTTTATATTTATTTAATGTTTTTTTTTTTTTTTAATATAATATATAATTTATCCATTATAGGTACTTATACAGGTTCTTTTAAGATTAAAAACAGGTTTGTAATAATAAACAAATACTTTAGATTTACTAATTTTATATGATAATATTTACTATCAGCTCTATAACCAGTACTATATGTTCTGTTAACAATAAGATTTTCTATATTATATGTTAAGAATAATTAAATACTTAATATTCATTAAAAACTTTCTTGATTTTTATTTGTTGATGTATTCTTTTTTTTTTATCATTTGATTTTTATGAATTAAGTATATTGATTAATTATACTTATATTATTTACATAATTCTGATAATAAATTTTAATTGTAAAACTGTTTAATAGAATTTAAAACAAATAATAAAATAGACTTCAATATATAGAATATTGCAACTCATCATTATTATTAACTAATAATTTACATTTGTTATATGATAACAAGAAATATTTTATAATTTTTTTCATATAATTTAGACAATAAAGATTATACATCTATTACAAATACATGTATACTAAAATGGTAAAATCAAGTGTAAATTACAAATAAGCTATATATGCATGATAATTAGCTTTGCCAATTTATCTGATATATATAATAATTGTAATTATATTACTTTTTTTTTTTTTTTTTTTTTGCTTTTGCCAAAGATGTTTGTTATTGCAACTGGCTCCTTTTTTTTGAATTCCATTTTCTTTGCCTATATGTTGCAGGGGTCTCCCTCTTCT